AAGTGTATCTATGTTGAAAAATAAAACGCCACTTTTCCAAAATTTTCGTTTTTCTTTTATAGGCAAAGTACTTATCAGACCACCCTCGTATGTCATAGGCAATTCTCCAATTTCTTTCCAAAACGATAATGTGACTGTGAATGATAAAGCATTCAGCAAGACGCCTGGATTAATGGAACTTCTCTTTCGTAAAGATCCTAATTCTAAAGTAATCAGTTCACCCGATATTGAAAATTATATAAAAATTCTTGAAATCACTAACGCTTATCATAAGAGATATGAAACAAATGGAGAATATCGCATTAAGCATGTAAATAAATTTAAAAAGTATATTGGTCCAAATTTATCTTTAAGTGGTAGTGCTAAGAAGCGAAAATTGACTATTGATGGAAGAGGTCTGTTACGTGACGTTCCATTATGTTCCATTATGTCTAAAGCATATGTGCGAGAGAGAGACGGAATGCGAGGGACAAAGAATATATAATAAACCAGCGAAAACAACGACCAGAGATTAGTCAGTCAGGACTGAGCGCTAGAGCTACTAGGCCGCAATATTTCCGCATTACAGAGTTCATCTCGCCGATTGAAATCTAAATTTAGTTTGATTCATCCGAGTTATCCGGTTAAAAGTTCAGTTCAGTTTGAGTGTAGTAAAAGGCAAAGAAACACAGCAACCGTACAGCCAACTTATTCACGTCGCTAGGACCAAGAAAAAGATATAAATTAATCGACAGTATTAATTGGACATATACAAATATACGGACCTTACAATCCATTTAAAGAGAAACACATAGGAGAGAGGACCGATAAATAGAAAATACTAAAGGACCGATTGTCAATAACTGTATTTAAAAAAATAAGTGATGCAACGATTGCCGAAAATCGTTATGACTCGCGCGGACCGTCAAGCGTTGCTATGCGAAATAGCCGTGATCGGCTTAGGTTAGAGAGAGAGAGAGAGAGAGAGGGCGCACGCGCGCGTTAGGGGCAACGACCGGGAGGGGAGAGCTAGTGAGTTAGTATAGCAGAGTTCATCAGCCTTGCTACATCGTGTCTTTCGCCAAGTACTTCACAGCAGTGTCAAGGGATTACAGGAGTCACAATAGATATTCTGTGTTGTGAGTGAGAGTGTTTCCTGCACCTCGTGCACAGCTTCAACGACTGCAACAACAACTTTGAAGCAGCATCCGCAGCGCAGCCCAGCAACAGCAGCAAAAGTAGGTTGCAGCGGCAGCTCATCGTTTTTGTAAGCGGATACGGTTGGCCACCGTATCCTAATCATCTTTGCGGTAAGTGCACTGCACTTTTGTGTTAGTTTTGCGTGCGATCCCGCGCAGCGTGCGCGGTGAATTTCGTTAACATTGTTGCGCGTGCGGTTAGTTAGCGGCGTTCGCGAAAGTAATTCTCTCTCTCTCCCCGTTAGATTAATCTTGTATACATAGCGTGCGTCAAAGACTCTCGGCTAATCATCCCGTGTATAAGATTTAGTTCTCATAATAAAGTGGTTCGTGAACAATACGAGACGACTTCATTATTTTCGTCTCACCTTGTACCGGTATTTATGTTTTGATTTGAACGCGCCGAGAATTCATCATAGATCGCGAGTGCGATAGTTAGAGTCGTTCGTCAAACGAGTTATCAGCTGCGGACGATGGAGCTCTGGTAAGCGAGCGCACCAGCACCCCTAGCGGATAGTACGAACGTCGAAGTTGGTTCGCTACGTCGACTCGGCGCAAGCACACACCGGCATAAGGAGAGTTAGCGTGCTCCAAGCACGTAGTTAGCAGAGCACCGGTTGGACGTTACGGCAATAACAATTGCTTGGGTTTAGCGACTAATCGGCAGCCTGTTACAGTGACTACCATATTTTTTATAGATAATAGACAACGCGAGAAGAACACGCGTCTATATATATATATATATATATATATATATATATATCTTTTTAATTTTCGCTGTATCATTTATTCATGTACTTAAGCTTTATAAAATAAATTCTATAAGTACTAGTAAACGCGCTTGAGTATATCCATACACTTCTCCGTTATTATATATAACCGATTATACGGATAAATATATACGAATACGTCCGATCGAATATTTCACGATCGCGGTATCGGGAGTCCGGATTCAAATCTACGGAGACTTTGTTATTGACGCGCGAACGGGACGGGGTGCCCGAGAGCCTGATTGCCGCCCGAGTCAAAGGCCGCTCGGCTGTTGAAAGGCCTTCGTACGGGACAAACTCGCCTCGCGCGAGTTGTCACCCATCAAGGTCTTTTTCCTAACTATAAAATAGCAAGAAAAAGAACATTATTTGATTATGTATATTGGGATGATCCAAACGAGCTCGTTGATCGATTGAGATTGCTTATCGTCGAATAAACCGCTGGTAATCCTAGTCATATTAATGAAATTTATTCAATCATTGAAGAATTACGTGAAGTTGGCTATATATATTAAGAGAATCCTAAATATTCCTCAGTAATAAAATGAGTGTTGATGTGTTTGAACGTATATTGAATAAAAAGGAGGGTAATCGAAGTCTTCCTGGTGTAGGGAATAAAATTACTAAAGACCCGACAATACGACGTGGATAACAAAAGAATTTCTAATATAGCTGATCCTCAAGAGAGTAACGATGCTGTAAACTTACGAACGGTGCAAAATCTAGTGAAGCTAACCTTACCACGCTTACGACTACAATAAATAATCTGCAAAAAACTAGTGAAGCTAACGTCGATACGCTTACGACTACAATAAATAATCTTAAAAAATCTTTAAATATAATAAGAATACAATTACGATCGTATGGAGAAGCGATTCAATATTTACAAACAAATAATAATGATAATAATAAGGAGAAAGAAATAAAGATTACGCCGTCTGACTTTTCATTCAATTATAACAAATAGATTGAAAAAATGAAACATCAAAGAGTGGTGCATGAGTTACACAAACCAGCACGTCCAAACTATCCTCGTCGAAAAGTCGATATACGTGAAATAGATGAGAAGTGGCAAGCTGATCTTGTTGAGATGCAAAGCTATTCTAGAGAGAATAAAGGTTTTCGCTATCTATTAACTATTAAAGATACATTCTCTAAATATGCTTGGAGAGTTCCAGTAAAACAGGAAACTGCTACAGATGTCACTAACGCAATGGAGTCTGTATTAAAAAAGGGAGGCATTCCTAAAAATCTCCAAGTGGATAGAGTCAAAGAGTTCTACAATACAAATTTTCAAAGTCTAATGAAAAAATATAAAATAAACCTTTATTTTACTTATTGCAATCTTAAAGCATCAATTTGTGAACGTTTCAATCGAACACTAAAAAATATTATGTAGAAGAAATTCAGTTTAATAGGAAATTATAAGTGGATTGACTTTTTCCCCAGTTTAATAGAATCTTATAATAATCGAAAACATCGCACAATATATATGAAGCCTAAAGACGTGACTAAAGAAAATGAAATGCAGGTCTTGACACGATTCTTACGATCATCGTCTTTTCAAAAAACCGAAATTTCAGGTAGGAGATAAAGTGCGAGTGAGCAAGTCTAAACACGTTTTTGAAAAAGGATATACGCCTAATTGGTCTACAGAAATTTTTACTATTCATCGTATTTCGAGAACTAAACCTGTAACATATCACCTACTAGATTATCAAGAAAATCCTATTGTTGGTGGTTTTTATGAGCAAGAACTACAGAAAGCTATGTATCCTGTTATCTATCTTGTAGAAAAAATTCTCAGAAGACGGGGTAATGAAGTCTTCGTAAAATGACTTGGCTTTGATAATACTCACAATTCTTGGATAAATAAGGAGACTATACAACAATGAATTACAAATATAAATTTATATGTATCTAGCTTGTATTTAAATAAATAATTGTTTTCATTTATAAATATTAGATTGTTTTTTTTATTTTAAGGATAAGAGCCCCAACCTTCGCTTTTACCTGTGAGGTACTTCCATTTTTTATATTTGACACTAGTGAGTCTATTAATCCATTAACGCCCAAAACCAGAGACTTTTAGACTGATTTTCGAGCCATACTTCCCAATCGGAAAATGAGATATACATCGACCAAACCTACTTTACTTTATGTTTTCGGGTCTGCTCTTTCGATTTCTGACGTCAAAATTACGTTTTTTTGCATTCCCAATCCAATATGGCGGACTTTATTAGAAAAAGTTAGGCTATTTTCAAAATTTTTTTTTTGAACTTTTTTTTTTCAATTACATAAAAAACTTCGATCTATTTCAAACTATGGACAAAGGTGGACAAAATAGCTATAGTTTATGGAAAACATTTTTTTGGTCAATTCCAAATTGTTTATCATGACGAAAATGGCGGCTAATTGCCAAAATTTTACAAAATCAGTGGATTTTCGCATTATTTCATGTATGAACTTAAAATGGATGACTTTTTTATACTCAAACTGTCTCAGTTCTATTGCCTGACCTTTATAAGTAATTTCCAACAAAATATATGTTATGCCTAATGGCGGATTCAATATGGCGACCGGAAAACTGGAAAATTAACCTGTTTTTTCCACATTTCCACTCATAAAAGTTCTAAATCCTAAGTTTACTTAGGTTTCTCTATGATTCGCTATATCGTAAAAGAGAATACTTTAACGGATTTTAGAAATTCAAAATGGCGGATCCAATATGGCGGACGAGGTAATGAAAATTTTAATATAAATGTATAAAAAAAATTGCATCATATTCTAGGTTTTATTTCGATTCAAAAATGTCTCTAGCGTTTTTTTGATTAGATACAAACATTCTCAGGAAAAAATTCTTGAAATTTCGGAATCACGAACTTTTTAAATTTTCTATTTTTTTGTATTTTTTATTTTAAATTTTTTTGTATTTTTTATTTTTATGTTTTTTTTTGTATTTTTATTTATATTATTATTTACATTTTTAATTTTTCATTTGCATAATTCTTTTTATCCTTACTTATAATTTCTAAATTCTATAATCCGTACCTTATTTTTCATGGTTATCATCAAAGCATGTTTTACAGAAATATAGAGAACATGTGTTGCAAAATTTTGCGGTTCTGATCGGGCATTTTGCAGTGGAACAGTTTTTTTTTAGTTCTTTGTACGAAACTTCGTGCTTCTTTGATCTATGTTTCTTACCATTTTCAAGATATTGTCTGGCAACACTCATTGTAAAATCTTTAGATCCTACCTTTTTATCTTCTGATTTACAAGTGTTATACAGCACCAGTGCATTGACTATTGCAGATTGAATAAGCCTTATCAAAACTACCCATGTCCATTTTTTTGAACGTATGCATGGTAGAACATTGTTGCAATGATTATCGTGTAAATCAACACCACCCATAAATTTATTGTGAGTATGAAAGGCACATAGAAAATGTACATCAACTCTTGCTTTCTTCTCTGCGCTATATCTTTGTGATGGTAATTTTGGGCTAACACCTGCAATCGATGATGCTATTGACACTTGTTTCGAGTCCTTAATACTTATATAGTTTATTCCACTGTTCTGATCATGTTTTGCAATACATGTACCCCTTAAAGCTTTTTTATCAATCACATTTCTGGCTTCTTTGGGTACGCGATTGTCTCTTATTGTTCCCGTGCATCTTAGTCCTAGCTTTTGCAAATGTAAAATAAGATCAAAATTCGTAAAAAAATTGTCAAAATAAAGATGGAATCGAGGAATTTCTGTACTAGATAATTTCTTGGAAAATGGTACCAGTAAATTCATCACAACTCGAGAACCAAGAGAACATTTATTCAGAAGATTTGCATTTGTATCTTTACCGCAGTATAAATCAAAATCTAATAAAAATCCGTCAGATGTGCAGCATCCCCAAAACTTCAAACCACGCCGTATAGGTTTTCCTCGAATGAACTGTAACAAGGATGTTCTGGCGTATGATTTAGCCATCATTTCATCTATGGATAAGGCTGTTTGAAAATACCCAAATCTTTGAATATTTTTTCTAAACTTATTCATCAAAACTCTTACTCTCCATGCCTTATCGTTGGGATTTTTATCTGTTGGCTAAGAGCATTTCAAATGAGATTTGATTTGTTCAAATGTATTGCGTGTGATGGCTTGTTGAACTATATCGCAAGACAATAGAGGATCAGATGACCAATAATCTCTTTGAGATTTCCTTTCATTGAATGATGATAGAATAATTACACCTAAAAAAGTATTCAAATCTATTTTTGAAAGATCATAGCCATTTTCACGAGTCGCTTCGATGATGTAATTTTTCATGTTATCTGTGAAGAACATTTCAAATAACTCAACATAGCTAGATCTACAAATTTTTGCTTTTTCTGTATTACTCAGCATTCATTTTGTATATCATTGTTGTAAATTTTTTCCCCATCTACCCACTAATATACGTGTTCATTCTCCAATTTTGTTTGATCATCTCTATAGCATTTAGAAATTTTTCTATATGTGTATTGAGAAAGAAGATCTTCAATATTTCCATCAAGATTGCTGCTATGAAAATCCTCATTATCAGATTCCTCATCTGAGTCTCCGGAATCGTCTGGGTTTGGAAGGTCAATGAGTTCAGCACAATCATCATCAGAATCATTAGATTCGTATAGTTCATGTTGGTCAGCAAACGATTTTTTTCGTTTAGGCATTTTGTAACTTTTTATATAGGCATGAGATAGCGGAAAAAGAATTTACTCTAAGTTGTACAACAAAATGTAATAACTGAGATGTTAGCAGAGTATCAATTCAGACAATCAGGCCAATGGTGGTATTATTGCTTGCTAACAGTGTAATGAAAACTATAAAAATTATAAGCACGTCATATGATTTTACATAGGCAGGTCTATAAAAGTATCGAAAACTACTGATGACCGTATCTGATGATTCCGAAATTTCAAGAATTTTTTCCTGAGAATGTTTGCATCTAATCAAAAAAACGCTAGAGACATTTTTCAATCGAAATAAAACCTAGAATATGATGCAATTTTTTTTATACATTTATATTAAAATTTTTACTACCTCGTCCGCCATATTGGATCCGCCATTTTGAATTTCTAAAATCCGTTAAAGTATTCTCTTTTACGATACAGCGAATCATAGAGAAACCTATGTAAACTTAGGAGTTAGAACTTTTATGAGTGGAAATGTGGAAAAAACAGGTTAATTTTCCAGTTTTCCGGTCGCCATATTGAATCCGCCATTAGGCATAACGTATATTTTGTTGGAAATTACTTATAAAGGTCAGGCAATAGAACTGAGACAGTTTGAGTATAAAAAAGTCATCCATTTTAAGTTCATACATGAAATAAAGCGAAAATCCACTGATTTTGTAAAATTTTGGCAATTAGCCGCCATTTTCGTCATGATAAACAATTTGGAATTGACCAAAAAAATGTTTTCCATAAACTATAGCTATTTTTTCCACCTTTGTCCATAGTTTGAAATAGATCGAAGTTTTTTATGTAATTGAAAAAAAAAGTTAAAAAAAAAAATTTTGAAAATAGCCTAACTTTTTCTAATAAAGTCCGCCATATTGGATTTGGAATGCAAAAAAAAGTAATTTTGACGTCATAAATCGAAAGAGCGGACCCGAAAACATAAAGTAAAGTAGGTTTGGTCGATGTATATCTCATTTTCCGATTGGGAAGTATGGCTCGAAAATCAGTCTAAAAGTCTCTGGTTTTGGGCGTTAATGGGTTAAGACAAATCGAAACCTGCTTTAATAGAAACACTAATGACTCATTTATTTCTCCAGAAAATAAATTTATATAATACAATCTTTATTGAGATATAATAAGATATACAAATACATTTACTTAATATTAAATTGAAATCGATCACATCCATGATATTGAATAAATAATGCATATTTTTGTACTCTATCAGGAAGATAAATAAAAAGATCCAAATGATGAATTATCGCTCTTGACATTCGGTTAGGTAGAACAATTTCTAACTCACAATCGAGTTCAAGAATAATTCGAGATTCATCTTGTCTCATGAATGTTATTAGATAATTCTCATCTTCATGCAATTCATAATGACTTTTTTCAGGAAGTATATCGAAAAGCTTCATTCCAATGTTATTCAACATTTCAAAATTCATCTTGCTGTAGGTAAAGAGATCTAGAATTTTACGTATTCTTCTTCTAATACTACTTCTACTACTACTTCTACTACTGCTCTCACTGCTGTTGGTGCTAATGCTGCTGCTGCTGCTGCTGCTACTACTCGATTCTTGAGACAGAATGAAGCTCTTCGAGGCTCACAGCTCTTTTAGAATCTTTCCCCACTACTTTGGTTTTCGAGCCGCCACAACCGCCTCCCTCTACTTTAAATTAGATTTCCATTTTATATAACATATATATAGTGTGATGATTTTTTAATATAGGACCAAGCATTCGATTCATCATCAATATACGTTTCTTGAGTAATACACGTGATATAACTTTATTTAATTCAGCAATACGTCTTTGGAAACGTTCGTGATCTCGTGCTATCTGCTCCCAAATACCTTTTCTAGAGACTTTTTCTTCGTATAGAAGATGATGTATTTTAACTTTCTTCGCAAACCATACATGCTTAGAAAAGGAGTGAGATCTCCTGTTGTCTCTTATAGCTGGCATGGCTAAGCTTCTACTACTACTTCTTCTTCTTACCACTACTTCGAACAGAATGGGCTTCCTATTAACATCTTATCTGTAACGGTCCAGTCTGATTTGTCCCTTTTTTCCCTCTGCAGAATAGCAACCCATTGTGCACGAGACAATCAAAGAAAAGCGGTAATTGAGCGAAGGCGCTTTTCTCACACATATGCAAACGTGTTAGGGCAACTCTGCGAAAACATTACCATATAAGGAGCGTGACGTCACGACCATGGGATACATATTGTTTACAATGCAAAATCGATAATTATAAAGTTTTTTGAATTAACAAAAGCACTTTTTTAGTCAATTTGGATGCGCTGATCCTGAATTTCATGTCGTTATCATTCTCAAGTCGGTATTTATTAGTTTAATTTAATTTACAAGTTAATATTGTTAGTTATTTTGCAATAAATAATCATATTGTTAATTCGAATATGCGATTACGTCCGCGACGTATTGAAACAGAGAAGCAAGAATTTGACACTTTGGTAACTAATTATTTACTAAGTTATCAATAAATAGAAAATTTATAATTTTTTTAAACAATTAAAATTGCATTCTTAGATAGCGAGTCGATTGTACATATCTGTACAATTAATGATTATGATTGTCACTAATTTGCTGATTTTTAAATAGTTAAAAAAGAAATTTGCAAATTCGTTTTTTAATTATTATTCAAAATTAGATAGCTATATTAATCGTTTTTAATTTGATTAACGTTCCGCTAATTACAAGCGATTTTTTTATGTAAAAATTTTCCGTAAATTTATTGTAAAATTGGCGTTATTTGATTTTTGCATTGTATTACTTATAACTCTAAAAGGCGATTTTTCCTCGAGAAGCGATTTATGTTAAAAAATTTGTTATTTCATATTTAATTTTTTAAATCATAAAATTTCAATCTCGATCGAGCCATTTTACAACAAAATAAATGCAAAGTTTATATCAATTTCAAAAATAGCGTTGTAGGGGCTACCAAGCGTAGAAAGGAACTCATTACGCTAGTATAAATTCGCTCGTCGCTGCAGCAAGAGGATTCACTATCCTACCTTGGTTAGCAGTGCGAGCACTGTTTAGAAATAAAGCCTCAGCAAATTCCTGAGATAAATTTCTTTATTCAGTGGTTAGCCTGCTAATTCCTCTCCTTTCGATATCTAAGTGCTCAACTCATAAGACTATCTCTCTTATGAGAAAAAAGTAGCCTTAGATATTTCCCTACCTCAAATATAATAATTGTTGAGAAATTAAATTGAGTATTGGTTGCGGCGCTGTCGGGCCTCTCCCCGATAGATGCAATCACGCTCAATTGCATTTCAAGACGATTCGTCGAGTTAGAAAACTTTGGGTTTACTACTCGAAAAATTTTCATATTTCATTTAGAACATACACCTGTCAATTTCTTGCTACTCTCGGAAACGCGATTACGAATACAACAGAAAGAGTCCGAACTATTGTTTTGATAACGTGGGAGAGATTCAAACGTTACATATCACTATTTTAGAATATAACCCCACTACTTCGCTTTTCGAGCCGCTGAAATCGCCCCCTTCTCTCTCTTTCTTATTTTTTTTTTCGTTAGGGAATGGTGAGAGCTCCAACCACATCGCTCTCACCTGTGAGGTGCTTCCACTACTAACATTGCTCATGAGACCTTTACACTAACAATAAGTCGAAACTCAGCAGAAAGAACGTAATTAGTTCAACCTCTCCAAAAAAAGGATTTGAAGGAACAATGAAATTAGGATTAAATACATAATTAAAATTTTAAATATAAATTTATTTACTAAGTATACATTTACACATTATACTAATTTAATTTTTAAATTCAAAATTCGAGCCTTCTCGATGATAAATAAACAACTGCTTTTTCTCCATAGTCTCGTATAATTTCTTCAACATATCTTCGTCTTTTTCTAACGCTAAGCTTACTCGCTTAGGTAGAAAAATTTCGAATTCGTCGTCTACGGTTATTACAACACTGAATCCATAACAAGTATTCAGCCATCTTAATTTCGTTATCATATAGGTGCAGTTATTTTCTAATTGCGACATTATTTTTCTAGGTAAGAATGCCGATTTGGCTATTTTGTTGAATGATGAAAAATCCATTCTACAATAAAAAAAATCAATCAATAATTAATTAATCAATAATCAATAATTAATAATAGGATATAGTTAGAGAGCTACTCGTATACAAGAAACTTACTTTTAAGAGAAAATCTAGAAGTCGAATAGGAGAACTAGGAAGAGATACTACTGCTGTTGCTTCAACCTACTGCTGAATAACTGCGACCGACTGAGGTGTGTTCTCCGTTTTGTACCATACGTTCCCTCTCTCAGAACTCGAGCCGCCGTAATTTCCCTCTCTTTTCCCCTTATCCCCACTTGAGTATTTTCTCATATGATTCCATTACCCATACTCCTCCCACTTCAGTCGCCATGTCTGCCGTTGTCTCCTACTCTACCATTGTCCCCACTCTCTCACTATCCTATCATTAATCTTTTCCTAACTAAGCCTTCTTCCTCCCCACTATTACTACTCTATTCTGAGTGACTTCTATCGGAGGTTGGAGGAAGCTTACAACTTTCTTGAGGATTTTCTTCCATTTATATTATCTTTCTTTTCCTTCATTGTTCCGCACTCTTGATTTTAAGCTTTGACGTTCCAATAGTTTTGTAATGACCCCATTATGTTGGGTCGTATAATGAAGTGTATCGGGATTTTTATCGAATATACATCGTTTATCATTATATGGACTTAGTGCTACTTTCTGCAATCTTTCTGTTCTTACTTGGTGCAATGCACTTCGTATATTGCATTGCTCACGCCTAATAATTTCTAAATCCAATAAACAGTTTCAAAAATCTTCATGATCTATTGTTTTTATGACAGTATGTGTTTTGCTTTCTTTATTGCTTGATGGTTTTCTATTAGTATACTATTAGTATATCATTTTACTTCGAAGTCCAATGAATTCTCTCATAATATTACCATTGCATTC